ATTATTATTCTCCTTATTCTTTTTTGTGTTGTGGAGGTCTGTCACTTTAACTCTTGGCTTTGTAGGTTCTAATAAATAATATTTAATTAGTTATCACTATGTATGCTCTTAGCTTGACTCTATTAAGTTCAGACCGTTTGTTTTGTCCATTAAGTGGTAAAGTTAAAGTTAATGGGTTCAATTAAGGCAAACCTTTTAGCGGTGATTCAATTAGAGATTATGTCTCACTGGTAAAATGTGCTTTCAGGAGATTTGAAACGTCAAGTGGGCCTTGTCCATGGTTTGGAGTTTGTGAATTGTGTAATATTTTTTATTATTATTATTGAGGTAAAAGTTGCAGAAGCTGATGATTGACTTGTCCTCAGATCTGTAGTTGTTCCAGTGGGCAGAGTTTTGCTGTCCAGATGGCTCTGTATGAGTAATGCCCATCAGAACGACCTAATCCTTCAYAGAATCAGAACCGGCCTGATTGTCAAACCAGCTGACTGTAGGACACTGACTTTTTTCAAGTGTTTTTTTATTTGTTTATTTGTGATTGAAACTTAAGCTAAGTGCTGCAGCATAATTTGTTGGTTTATCGAAAAAGAACGTGACTATCCCCGTGCAATCGGCCACGCTCTTTGACTGGAGGAGGCCYGCATCAGGCAAAGAGCCAACTGCAGCTCTAAGCTCGTCAGTGTGAGGAGAGGCTGTGGCAGGACAGATCAGGAAGGTGACGAGGTTAGGAGACAAGGTTAGACCGCTCAGCTGCTCGTTCAACATTGCCTCCATCTTGTTGTGGGATTTGTTTCGGAAGTATGAGAACTAACCGGTAAACATTTCTGACTTTTTTCCCCCCTTTGTCTTTAAAGTTATGTTTGTTCGTGAAGCAATTTGGTCCCAGTTTTAGTGATTCAAACCAGCTGAAAAATGCAAGTGGGTCTTTTTTAATAATTATGCAAATGAATGTTCKTGTGTAGGTGTGTGTCACTGGACTGATTTGGATGCTCTGTGGCCATGTGTGGACAAGAGTTGGCTGTTATTGATGAGTAAATTAAATGGAAATATTTCAGCTTTCCCCTCACTCCTATGAKAATTAGAGCTGCTAAAGATTGTGTTGTAAAGTGCAGTCCATTTACCGTTTATGGGAAATATGTGTGATTTAAACGCTTGCTGTTCTATTATAAACCCTATTTTTTTAGTTTGCTTGTTTAATATGTGCAGTTGTAGCAGGTGGAGCTCATAAAACAAACATGTGAAAGAAGGGCCGGGCTTTAAAGCAATATCTGTTCCTAATTTACTCTCAAATCCTCTGTGTTTGTGTGCACATGCTCCTTTGGCCTGCTTTGGACCCATGCTCCATTTTTACTGGTGAGTTCTTTAAAAACATGCAGTGCGTTGTGTTTCGCTCATTCTGATTGTGTTTTCTGATGCACATGACGGTAGCTCTCGTGTGCTTGTTTACTCTTCCTCCTATACGGATGTCAAATCTGCATGGTGCCTTACACTCTAATCCCAATTACCTGTGCTTCTTTAATCTGGGTGTGGGTMAGGGTTTACCTGTGTGCATGTCATGGTTTATGTTATGCAATGACCAGTGTGTGGTTCTCATGCATGTCTTTGGGAAATAAAACAGTCTGGGCCGCGAAGGAATAACTTTGTGTTAAAGCAATAGTAGTGGTTTTCTTCAGATTCGTCAAGTTTTATTCTCACTACCATGCTGTTCGCAGGCCTGTTATTCTTGTAATACTTTGTTTATTTCTCAAACTAAAATAATTTAACGTAACACTAAAAGTGAATGGCTTTTTCATGCAACCAATATATCACAAAAATCTGCTTGGTTTTCATCTTTGTGTACAATATTACATAATTTTAACCTTGCAAAAGTAGACAATTCTACACCAGAAACGGTTTTATACATGTAAACAGAGCTTTTATGACCACAAAAATTTTTTTTGCAAGGATGGATGGATGGATAAATAAATAAATAAATAAATAAATAAATAAATAAATAAATAAATAAACCTATTAAGTGCAATGAACATATCCTTCCTCTAGAGGGCGCTGTCTGTCTGCACTCGCCCAACCACATCCGCACCGAAAGTCCCTCCAATCAGATTTCAGAATCTACCACTGTAACCCATCTGAACCAATGAGCGACAGCCAAAAGATTTTTCTGACTGTACGGGGGGCGGGTCTTGAGGGTGATGGACGGACCCGTTTTGTTTGAGCTGGAGCTGGATATTCGGCGTGGGTTGTAGTTGAGATTTTTGGAGGTTGAGGTAGTGGGACGTACTTAATTTTTTTTTTTTTTGGTGGAAGAGAGCAGAGTCGCAGTCCACTCTTTTTTGGAGTATCCCCGTGGAAAATTCAAAGAGGTATCGTTTTATTTTCTCCTCTTTAACGTCACGTGATTTAGGTGTCTGGTTCGCAGCTTTTCGGTGGTCTGCACGTAATTTATTCGTTTTTGTTGCTGTTTCTTCGATGGTTATATACTCAAGCTGCACTATTACTACCGTATGCTAAATATAGCTCGTTGACGTGATGGCAATTGGTTTCTCAAAACTCAAATCCGTTATATTGGAAAATTAATCATACACCTAATCGATGCAAGACGCTTCATGGCGCCTGTCTCCTTCCCCCCAAATCATCACCTATGCTACCTTCACGTACCGCTGTTCCTGCCCTGGATCGGTGCGATTTATGTGAACAACTGGAAGAAACRGAACGTGTCTTTGGATGTTTACCCTTGTAGTAAACAGATTCAGCAGCTTTACAGGCAGTAATCCCTCGGCTGTGTTAACAACAAGCTAGCGGATTGGTTGTTTTTTAAAACGATGCTGACAAAACTGAGTTGCGTTTAGGTGCTTGCTGTTCAAACATCCGGCTCCAGTCTATTTTGTGGGACAATGCACGTAGCTGCGTCCTGCCTAGGCGACAACAAGCACTAGAAGTTTATTTATTTTTGATATTGACTTGGGAGACATTTATTTTTGGCCATTTGTTATTGTGCAATGTATGTAAGTTATGCTTTTTTGCCTGTAGCTTGTTCCTTTTGCAGCAGAACACATTTTATAAAACGACTAAAGATGAGTAATACTAGATTTATATGCTTTTATGTAAGGATTTATGAGGATTATTGTTGTTTACTGTTCTCTAAAAGGTTTTGGTGGTTAAATAAATAGGGTTATTTATGTCTTGTTTGTGTATAACAAAGCCATCAAAGTCATACTTTGATATGGCAAGGGCTCATCTACTTTTATCCAACATAAATCCAGGTCATTAGACTGACAAATAAAAGGGACTGAGCTGAATTTGTGTTCACTGTGTGAATAGCTATGGTGCTTCATTCAGGTCCAGAACAATTAGTTTCCCTTAAATCTTTTCTGTTTTGATAAAGTGCATCACATTTCATCAACAGCTCTTTTTTTWAAACCAATCTAAATAAATGTGACTATATAATAGATAAATATCAAGTCATCTGACCGTGTCTGTTAGATATTAACAAAATACTTTAAATATGACTCTGATTTTGGTTTTCAGTGTGTCTTGTCAAGTCCCATCCACAGTTATCAGCATCAAATGATTTGCACTGCTGCTGCCATGTTCTGTCTAAAGGAGTGAAATGTTGAATAGAAGTTGTGAGATAAAGGGCTGTTTTGGTTTCACAGCAAATAAATGTAGTTTTGCAAAATGTTATTAAGAGTGCCAGATTGCTAAATCCTCACATAAATCAAGAAACCAGTTGGGGGGCAGGGCTGRGTGGGATGTCGTACAATTTTATCACCATTAGAGTTGTGCAGATTATCAGTTTCAGCTGAGCTACAAAATMAGTAGGCTTCCATAKCATTTCYAGCTCTGCATGCGAAATAAACCATRGGCCCAATCAAAGGGATCCTCACTGSTCTGAGGTGCACACACCCAGTTTAGATGACAGCGGCTGAGATGCTTCAGGGCACAGAAAAATGTTTCAGATATTGTGATGATGTAAAAGGGAGGCAAACGAGCAAGAATGTGATTTTTTAAATTTATTTAAAGCTATATTAGAATTGGAATATTTAACATTCTTGTAATAATGTGCAGCTGTAGTGAGGCGAGGATCTGTTTTGTTCGGCTTCAACAAGTTTATTATTTATAACCCGTGAACAGTTGTTTGCACCAGTCAGCGTCTTTCAGGTGTAATTTTTTGAGGCAAATTTTTGTTGCCAGATCTGTTATCAGCAGCCACTTCATCATAGATTTGCATACTGTATTAGCATTGAATTAAACAACAGTATTCCTTTATCATACTTGTTTTTATTGAGAAAGTGTTCTTGCCCTTCCAACTATCTCAAATAAAGTTACTAAGTCTGTTAATTGGTTTGCAGGATCAGTTGGCTTCTATTTAATTACCTAATAAGAATAAAAAAGTGTTCTTAACAGAATTATTTTGCATACTAAACTATCCTCTCTAAAATACCTGTCAGTTTGTTTTTATTTTATCTGTTTAATTRTTGTTTTTAATAGAAAATGAAACATATTGGTATTTTTATTACAAAGCTAGTTGAACAGTTCTTCTCATACTAKGCATTTTATTGCATTGTTGACCCTYCACATGACAAATCAATCCAATTTAGTACCMTCAAAGGACACAGGTAATACCAACTTCCAGGAAATTCGCTTTAATATAAGGATAATGACAATTTGAATAGATCACAAAAAAAGAACATGGACCAAAACATATTTAGAACTCAGCATACTTTTTTTTTAAATGTAAGCAAACATTGTTAAATTAAGTTATAGGTGTCCCTGTCCCTTCAGGGTTGTTACTGTGCAGTTTATCTATAACCATTCATGTCATATTCCCTCTCAGACTCACAGGATGTGTTGAACAGTGGCAGCTCTGTTAAAACCACTAATGAGAAGCCTTAATTGGTTGTTCTGGTGGGGAATCTGCTCATTAAATATAACTGGAACTTACTCTGGGCTTGCCYTAATGAGGGCACGGTTGTGTTTTTGCTGAAACTTTGCATTCTGCTTTATTTTTTTGCCCTGTGGATTTTATATCACATTTTCAAAAGCATTTTCAGGAGCTTCAGATGTGAGTAGTTGAGTGAAGATAATAAAAAAAGTTTCATAAAATGAGGAAGGAATAAAAAATACCAGCAGTCTTTATGACTTCTTCAAGATACAACATTGAAAATCAAGAATTTGTCTATTTCATTGTGATACAAGCAAATTGCTTGAGGGAATCGTGGATAATTTCCTGCAGTTRGGCCTTTTATTTCCTCGTTTTCAATTTGCGAAGACTTAGATGGTATGTAGTAGAGACTCAAGGGCKCAAAAATGGGGAAAATGCCATAGTAGAGATGATGTGACAAAAACAGGAAAAGTTTTTCTCCTCAGCTAGAGGAAGTGGGTAAGATTTGAACACGAGAAGAAAGAGACTGAGCGAGCGCGACAGAGAGAGGGAAAGATATTGCTTAACCATTCGGAAAGGCTATGGGAACATCCTTGTGTGTGTCATTGTGTGCGTATGTGTGTTTTCATCTTAGCCCCAGTGGGTTCAACAAGAGCTGACCACGTCTCATCAGCTCAGACACACACAGATAACTCTACTGGCCCACTTCGGTCGCAATGAACACAGAGTTTTAGAAAAGCTTTGCAAACAGCAAACTAAAAAAAACCAACTTGGTAAATGATTAAAGTAAAGTGAGTTACAGGTTTTTATCTCCTCAGTGATCATAAAGACATTTGGGCAGTCACAYCAATAAGACGATCACATGCAGGAGTGTCGCAGTTAGCCATGACGAAGAAATTGTCGCTTGCTTTCAGGGTTGCACAGCCAGCAGTCATCACAGGGTCTGTATTCACACAGAGAAGACCAGAGAGGGATGGGTGAATGGAAACTGACAGCTTATTACACAGACGGGTGGTGCAAGGTGGGTGAAAGGAAGAGTTGGGGAGAATGTCAGTGGGATTGAGATGTAGGGAACATGTTGGATGAAGAGGGCAAAAATGTAAGAGAGAGGAGGGGTTGGTTAAAATCCAAATGAGTGTAAGTTTTAAAGGAATCTGTAGGACGCTATAAAACAGTTCTTGCCAACACTATAAATACAATGCTGTGTGAGATTAGCTTTGATCCACGCAGATGAGACAGGCCATATTTCTTAAATGAGAGCTTTTGTTGAAGAGTAAAAAGAAAACCCTTGTGTTGAATGGTAACAGTTCACATCAGAGGCAGAAAAATAGAGGGTGAGCCGCCTTTCCCAGCATGRATCCTGTTCTGAAAGAAATGATAAAGTAAAAAACAGAGACCAAGCGTGGGCCTGTGGCTTTGGCATGGAGTCAAACATAGTTAAAAAGAGATTAATCAGCACAGGGTCACGTTCTCACAGAGAGAGGCTGAACAGACCAGGGCGAGATGGGGTGAAGCCTTCATCTTTTAAAGGACATGGCAAAAGGTGCAACATGAAGAAACTTGACTCACTCATGTCAACCCAGCAGAAGAATAATTGGGGCTATGGCTATCAAATGTTTTAGTAATTGGGCTTATCGGTGGCTTGGTTGGTTAGCACCATTGCCCTGCAGTAAATAGCTCCTGTTTGACTCCTTGGGCCTGTCTGTGTAGGGTTTACATGGTTGAGCAATATTGGCATAAAATTTTATCATGATTAATTGTGACATTTTGCTGGTACAGGTAAATGTGATGATTAATTGATGACAATTGTCCTTGCGTGTGGCCTTGGTCCACATTTTTTGGCTTTCCTCGTACTCCGGCTTTAGGTGATAACCAMTGGTGGGCACCAGCCCGCTAAAGCGCAAATCCGGTAATTGCGGACCTGAATATTTCATTTGCGGTTTAGGGGACTTACTAATTTTTATAATTCATAAGCAGATTTGCGCTTTCTAAAATGAAAATGCAGTACCACTAATAACTAATTATCTACCAGTCATCGTTATCTTGAACAGCGGAAGCTATGGCTGTCAATGAATCACAACACACGTGATCTATCCAACAGCACCCTTCCAAGATAAACACACTTATTGGTAAGGTATACATCCTTGCGGACTGTTGCATTCGGCCATGGTTCTGATTTCCCACGATGCTTTGTGTCTGCTTACGTAGCAGGAAGGCAGTAGCAAAAATAGTAAACGTTTGTAATCCATACTAAAATTTTGTATACAATCGGAGCTCCTTTTTAAAAAAAAAGTTTAAATGCTGGAGCTCTAAAGCAGACTCAGAAGTGATTTAAAGATGTTATGCTGGTGAAGACTGACATCTAGTGGTCAACTGGAGCAACTAAATGGAAAACATCCTAATCCAGGTAGAAAAAAATCAAAAAAAAAAAGTAGATCCTCTGGATGGGTTCGTCTTTAGTGAAATGTTTAGTCCCTT